TCTATGAAGCATCACCCCAATTCTCTGTTAATTCCCACTGCACCTGAAGAAGGCTGGTTTGGCCAGCCGAAATATAGTGCTCCGTCTTAAAATTTACTTATCTACGTTGTATCGGTCTTGCCTCTATATTTATATTTCATATTCATTATTTTGGGCCGATCAGATCATCGCTGATCCAACGTACAAGAGTAGGAGTATCGTCCACGGTTGCTTGCTGAACATTTCCCAATTGTAACCTTTGCACTTCAACCGGAAATAAGACATGTTGCTCAACAATTCCATTTGCTTTCATTTGTCAGCACCTCCTGTCTTTGGAAGTAACCGCGGAAATATCCCCATACATTTGTTTGGCCATCCCTTTTCAATCTGTAGCAGTGAAACTCGACATTGTATACAAGAGGTTGAATTTGAGCTCATTCAGAGGGACTGATTATTTTTCTATTTACGACGATCAAAACGTCACAGGAATTTTAAGTTTTATGCGTTAATTAATGCCCAATTTCGTACTGTGTAGGAACAGCAAAAGATGGCAGTGCTTCGAGTGACGCCAATAAACGTGACCAGGATCCCAAGGGCTCCTGGTCACGTGAGCTAATGCACAGGTAGGTGGTCGGATATACGATCGTTCTTCCTGCCTGATTTTCGTACAGGAATAACAGTTTTTTCTCTCTTAAACGGCTTATAACGTTATGTTTTTTGTAGAGTTGTGAGTTACATAAAAAATGGACGGGAAAGCAATTTCACTGAAAGTTAGAAACACTTAGAATCTGACGCAAAAAATAATGTTGATGTTTCCTCGTCGATAAAGAGGGATTTATCATTTCCTCCACTCACCCATTTCTTGGAGCATCCCCAGATGGAGTAGTACCTGAAGAGTGTTTGGTTGAGGTGAAAGGGATTTTTCCACGAACTATGACACTAAAAGAAGCAGTGTGTAGTCGAGGCATTTTTAAGAAAACTAGCGATGGTCTTATCGCCAATCAAAATCATGCATACTATTACCAAGTTCAACAACAGTTATTCTGTTCAGCTGGGGTTTACATTTTCTTATATCTCAGACAAATCTATATAACAGTCTTGTGAATTACTATGTTGAATAATATTTGTTTGAGCGTTTCTTTTATACGCATTTTTGGAAAGATTTCTTAATGCTCGAGGTAACTTTTCCTAACTTTCAAGTGGATTACTAGCCTTTGTTTTTCACCCCCGAGCAACTCGCGCAGAACTTGCTTCCGAAAATTTAATAATCGTACACAGAAATAAATAAGTTAAAATTGTCTTTTTTAGCTCATTCATGCGCAAGCGCAATGAATGAGGTATCGTGAGGTGGCAAAATGTTGACGGAAGTTTGTGGACGGAATTTTGTTGACGGAAGTTTGTCAACTGAAGTTTGTGAACTGAAGTTTGTGAACGGAAGTTGTGATCAACAAACGAGACCGGAAGTGATTTCTCCTCACTACCCTTCCCTCCTTCGGCTTCATTTGTGGAACTAAACTTCGATCTGGCTTTAATAGGCAAGTGCAAAGAACAATAATAAAAGCTCTTTTATAACGAAACATCAAGTCATTATTTCCAAACTTGAAAAATCACAATATGGATCGAGAAGACGTAATGTTTGTAATTAGGGGGTCCCCGAGCGGTTTTTGTTTCTTACTTATGCTACCAGTTCCACGAGGCAGACAACATTGAGGTCGCCATATTGGAAAGCTGCTGAGGTTCTTGGCGTTCGTATTGGTAAGTACGTAAACAATTGCTTTGTTGTTGGGCTTTTCCTTTGCAGCCCTTCTACATACAACGCACACCTCAATAAATGATAGCGGCAGAGATAGTCTCTCTAAAACATTTTTTGGGGTCCTGTTTCGATCCAGACTTGAGGCTCGCGCTTACAGAACTGCTTTACTGAACTGCTTTACAGAACTGCTTTACAATCTGCTTGACAATTTGCAACTAATAAACAACAAAACAATCTCTCATTAAATCCTGCTTGAGATGGTTACCAGCCACATTAAATCAATTACAGGCAATGCCATCAAGTTTATCAAGACGAAGCTGTCCTACGTCGCTAATAGGGACCTTTAGAGGGGACAGAGCGGTGTCAAGAATTCCCATAACTCAGATAAGGCGTGTTCTGCAAAAGAGCAAAAAAGTCGTTTCTAAAATGCAAAACCGTATGCGACAAGTTGTTCCACAGTCATCAAAGCTTCATGCATACACGGTAAGCAGGAAAAGCAGTATGTTCCATAGTGTAACGAACACCGTTTATTGTTGTAATTGCGTGACCGTCAATACCTCCTTGTTTTACGTGACACATCGATTAGCTTTTGGCATTACCTTTCATTCGACACACGTGTAAGTTACTAGCGCATGTAGTGGAAAATTGATTGAAGGATCGTCGAATATATCATTGTAATAGAACGGAGAAAGAGGCGTGTTATATCGTTTGTTCCTTTTATCTAGACCCCGAAATGTACACCATTTAATCAAAAGGATAGGCTATGTTTGAGAATACTTGTGCTGTTTAGAATTATGTGTATGCGCGCTCCGCGTGCTCGAGTTAAAACATTTCAAATCGCATAGATTTATAGTAATAGCTCTATTCGGCTCGTTGTATTTCAGTTTTTACGAGCTTTCAAGTGCAATAAATCCATTGAGAAAGATAGATGCTTGAAGGTTCCTTCACTTATGAAACATTCTCCGATGCGGCGCTGTTAAGAAATTCCCAGACCGAAAGAATCGATTGAAGTCAGCGTCCGCCCCGTTACACATAGGTTAAATAGTAAATTCTTCGCGATTTGTTATCATAAGCATAAATCAGCTAGAAAGCAGAGGGTAAACTTTGATAAAAAAAAATATTATCACTCTAGATATCATTGCTTTACAAACAAAGAACGATTAGCGGGTTCAATATTCAAATAATCAATTCACTAATGTAATCCTGAGGGGTACGCTTCACTTAGTTTGACTGTAAATGCTCTGCATCTTCAAAAATCTCCAAAACGAAAATTAAGCAGGTCATTTTGCAAAAGTGATACTGACATAGATCTTATTTTGTATATTGATTAGATAGCTTAGCTTAACATTATTTGCAACGGTTTGTAATTTTTGTATGAATTCCAGTCTCTGGTACCATCTGACTAAATTTAGACAGTTTTTTTTTTAAAGGGAGATCACAGTGTCTCTCCGTGGATGAACACTCGCGTAACGCGATCAATTTTAAAACAATAGGAATTAAATGTCTTTTAAGAAAGCGGGTTTTTTAGCTAGTTTAACAATGGTAATTTCAAATTACTTCTTTCTTGTTCTTTATCACTCCCAGGTGAGCGTGGGTAAATAAAGTATTGTGTAGCCCCACAAATTGCATTTTATTCTCTATGGATGTGTCCAGCCTGTATACTTTACAAGAGGAGGGAAACCTTTTACACAGGTGAAACCTCAATGTCAAAACAAGCTTTAGAGAGAACATCACAGACATTCTAAGTCGTGTGTCCAAATTATCTAGCTGAAAGAATCATCACATAGGTTGATCTCACTAACAGGAAAACGAGACTTCGGCAGAAAAACAAAGTGCAACAAACCATCAGTACCAGCACCTTCACCCATGTAGACCCGGTACGTAAGAAATGTTTCTGTTTTAACTGATATTTATCCAACCATCAAGAACGCACGAGGAACCTCAGGAAGAAAAGAGTAATACATTTCAGCTACAAGCGATGAGAGGCATTACGCCATGCCTAAAACTCATGCAAAGATGAATGCTATTAATTTCTCACACAGTCCTAGTTGTCTCACGACTGTTACGGCATCCACTCAAAACGTACCTGAAGTCATAATTTACATCCTCGAGTAACGGGGCTTCACGCACACTTTACGCCTTCTCATTTTTTTCCTTCGATAAATGTTTTTAAATGATTGCATACAGCCATTGAGGGTTAAAGATAACTACGATAAGGATCCACCTCTTTAACATTCAATTTTATTGACTCTGAGCAATAAACTGTAACAGAATCCATGTCATGTTTTACGCGCTGGAATAATAGTAAAATAACTTAATATTTACATTGATCATGACGTAAACCCTCTATATTAATTCAAAGTTAAAAGTGAAAATATAAACAGCAACTAGAATATCCTTGTGATAAATAGCATTTCGTCGAGTTTTTGTGTCCTTTTAGGTCTACATGAATAGAAAACACAGGTATTAAAAAGCTTTGTGAAATTTGAAAAATATATTAAATCAGACAGAAATGTCCAAAAATTCAAATCTCTCTCATCTTAAATAAACTGTTTTAATTAACAATCTAAATACTGAAATTTCTTTTCTCGACGCATGCACCTTTCAATAAATTATGAAAACTGGAATAATAGTTAAGGACAGAAACCAAAAAGGGTCGATCTGAAAAAATATTAAGAATCGATACCTTTTAGACAAATCGCTTTTGAAAAGTTTGTCAAATCGAGAAAACAATTTCAAATCCTAGTTTAACTCCTAGATCCATGTATAACTTTCACAAATATCCTTTGAAAATTGTCCCGACTCGGCTTCCATGGGTCGTACAACTTCAGACAAAAAAAATTCAAGGACTTTTCAAGGACAAAAAATGGTTTTCAAGGATTAAGTTTTATTCATAAATCTAAACTCTTTGACCCCTTTTCATAACCAAAACAGTCAACTTTGCATCACTTGACCATTTACGATTGAATACACATTTGCTCATCGCTCAATTAAACTGAAAGCAAAGGGAAATGAAAAATTCATCGACCAAAACTAGCCAAACCACTACATGTTTACGTTGCCCCTTAAAACAAAAGCACACGGCGGACTACCCCACATCGGAGGCCTTGCGCATGAAATTGAGGCAGAGATCCAACTTTACTTCATGTGCCACTAACGTTTTATACCGACCATTTTCGCTTTTTGGTAGTTACAAGTGGACAAATTTTCCATAGCAAAATTGTTTAATTTATCAGAAAAGCGATAAGGCACACAGAAGTTGCTAAATTTCAAGGACTTTTCATGACCTACTAAAGAAATCAAGTACTTTTCAAGGACTTAACCAAATTCAAGGACTTTTCAAGATTGTACGAACCATGGTTTCCGTAGTCAAGTCTTAAAGAAGTCTGAAATAATCAAAAATAGGAATCTGTATCAACTGAAAAAAAAAAAAAAACATCGGCTGCTCCTCTCAACCTATCACAAAAAACACGCTTTAAAATGGTCTCATTAGATTTTACATGTGGGTCCGAGTTTCTCTCAAAAAGACTTAACAGCTGTTAAGCAAAAGACAAGATCAATTTCCTCTTTTGTTGACTCTTGCAGCAGTTAAGGTCTCAGTTACAACATAATTCTACCATCACCGCTTTCCACTGTAGTCATGTACCGAATAGTTTCTTTCTCAGTAACAGCTGTATCTCTTACGTCTCCACTTGGTCCATCGATTTTTCTATCAAACCCTTTATTGCCAGTGTCACCTCCTATGTTTACCGTTGTTATATATAGTTCAGTCGCCTCAATCTTCACTTTGCCTTTTTTTCTCTCAATCAAAATAGACCTGACTTTGTACACCATCGTTCCTCCAGCTGCCCCTATCAGAACCACCACCACCACCACCACTACCACCACCGTGAGGTTTTTTTTACTGGTACCTGAAAAAGAAAGCTTCAAATTACTGAACGATCGTGCATGCCCTTGCTGTGGTCAGCACAATGCGAGCCATCCGTGGTAAGAACGTCACTAAATATCGAATAACTTATTCACAATGCTATACTGCATCATAGTAACTAGTTACATCCCTAAATGTAAATATCTTCTTTGACTTTATGGAATACGTCAAATCGTATTCGGTAACTACGGAAAATCAAAGGTCCTCTTGTTTTAATTACTTTTCAACTAAAATATGTCAATCTTGTTGGGATGGTTCGGCATAATGAACTCAGGAACCTGATTGGAAAGATGTGCATTAGTAGCTAACCCCTAATTTGTACTTAGTTTTCAAATCTGAGGACATATTTTTTCTTGTCTCGTGAACAAGCTTTTCTTCCTCCAGTCTAGTCTCTTACCAACAAAGGAAACGTCAAATATTCCACCCAAAAGGGTGGCTTCAAAACTTATGTCGTATTTCGTCACTGAGAAACACGACATACAGTATCCATGATTGGTTTTTTCAGAATTATGAAGGGAAACACGGGTGAAAGGAGCTATATTGCATCAACATATAAAGAATTTTTTTGTTTCTCAACAGAGCAAAATCTTCGAGGCAGAAGCTAGATCAATTTACCGTCTTTGTCTTTGTCATTAGTACGAGAATGATGTTTGGTAGAAGAAACCGTTCCTGTTGGTTCCATTGGGCGACTTGTGAGGATCGTCGGAACCGAATGGGCGTCTGACGTTCCATACAAAATCAAGGACCAGCTATGAAGAGTGCCTAAAACAAACAATGTATTTCATTACTGAACAAAGTGTTAAAGTAAGCTAAAGGAGGAAAATAATGAGACTCGTTGGAAAATGAATGAGGGGACGTTTAGATTTTGATGAATGAATTGGGTACCTAGAAGAGCAAGTGGCGCTAAGAAAAGCTTTTCGACACTTGAATGCGACCACTTCACATTTTTCTCATACAACTGTACAACACCGCCGCCCAGATAGCCCAATGGATGGTGCGCTGGACTATTGTGCGGGAGGTCGAGGGTTCGAGCCCCGGCCGGACCCTCAAGGTCTTAAAATAATTGAGAAGAATTTGCTACCTTTCTA